AAAAGAGCACCAAAAAACAATCCCAGTAATAATTGTCTTTTCAAAATGAAAATTTAAAAAGAGGAGGATTCTATTAGAGATTTTAAAAAGCTTTATACATTATATTATTATTATACATTATTTTATAAGATACAGGATTGCATAGCTCTCACTACAGAAGTAAACATTTTAAAATGACTTGACTAGAGACTCTCATAGAATATAAGACAGCACATGTTACTAGAATTATTCCTAGGTTAAGCTGAAACTTAAGATTATCTATTGTGGAACTGTTGTGATGCAGCAGACTCTGGGAAAGATGGCAGGTCCCTCCAAGTGCTTGTCCCGGGCCAGTGGCCAGCTCTAGCACTGGCTGCCCAAGTGTGACCCAAGGTAGCAGAGGATTGAAGGCATTGGAGGAAACAGTTTAGAGTGGAAGCCGAAATCTAAGAGGCTAAGTATTACCCTGACCTGATCTGAATTTAGAACTTTAGTCCAGGAAACATGCATCATTTTTTACAGTTCAGTAAGTTCAAGTGAAAACAAGGTCTCATTCTGTCTTTGTCTGTCTGTCTGTCTGTCTGTCATCTGTCTCTCTTTTAGTGACAATACTAGAGTTTGAACTCAAGGCCTTGCTCTCTTCCTTAGCTTTTTTTGTTCAAGGCTGATGCCCTGCCACTTGAGCTACAATTCCACTTGGCTGGTTAATTGGAGATAAGCATCTCATGGACTTTTCTGACTGAGCTGGCTTTGAATTTTGAGGCTCAGATCTCAGCCTCTTGAATAGCTATCAGGTATGAGCCACTGATGCCAGGTAGGATCTTTGTTCTTGTCATTAAAAATACATCTTGGAGGCTGGTGATGCAGTTCAGTGGCCCAGTCAGTGCTTGCATTGCACAATATAGACTCAGGTCAATCCCTAGCATCAAAAAAACCATCTTCAAGAAGCTTTCTTGTTAATTAGACCATGTTATTAATTATTGATAAAAACAATAGTTGAGTAGCTCTTATTTGAAATAATAAGAATGGAGTTTAATTTTTTCACATGTTGGTATATTCTCATATGTGTGTATGTGTATGTGCATGTGTGTATATGATAGATACTTTGGGGGAAGGGATCAATTTCATACATGCTTTTCACACATAATCTGAGAATAATTTTATACAATTATATAATGTTTAGTGATACACTTTATGATAGTTATACAATACTCTAAATAATTTTGTGCACAAAATGAAGTTTTAGAGCATTGAAATTTCCACTTGTAGGATCATATCAAATTGTTAAAAAGTTTCAGATTTTTTTCTTTTTTGGGTCTGGTCGTGGGGCCTGAACTCTGGGCCTGGGCGCTGTCCCTCAGCTCTTCAGCGCAAGGCTAGTGCTCTACCACTTGAGCAATAGCGCTACTTCCAGCTTTTGTCTTTTTGCTTATGTGGTGCTGAGAAATCGAACCCAGGGCCTCATGCATGCAAGGCAAGCGCTCTACCACTGAGCTACCTTCCCAGCCCAAAAAGTTTCAGATTTTTTGATGCAGATATTGAAGCAACTTTAGATTTAAGATTGTCATGTTACAGATGCTCAAATTTCATGAAGACTGAGCTACCTACGCAACATATGCATTTGCATCCTGGCATTCAATTCCAATTCTTAATAAGACTAAGTGATTTTAGTCTACTTTCTCTGTCAAAGATTGCGAGGTGCAGGGTTAAATTTTCAATTGCAATGTGATTTTACTAATGTTCTCCATATGATTAACAGACATTGTGTTATGAATCTTGATGCTCTGTTATTCAGCACATAATCATTTATAGGCTAAATCATTGCATAACTCCATTTAGCATATAATTAATCTTTACATCGGATTCAATACTTCCTTTATAAGGTCCCTTTGCCAGATAAATACAATTACATGAAACATCTTTTTAAAAGATTTTATCCTTGATGTACTTTCTCAAAAATTTCTTTATTTTTAATTCTATTTTGTGTGGGCTTTGTATAAAATTTTAGAGGTGATTTTATTTTTCAATCAATTATTGAAACGTTTTCATCTAGTGAACTCATTCAACTGCATGCTTTTGTCAAAATTTTCCTGTCTTTTTTGTACTTTCCCATTATTTCCACTTTTGTCTTTTCTAAATTGTTGATAATTCCTTAGTTTTTTTATTTCAGCAATATTACTCTATTTGTTTTAAATATTTGAATTATATTTTGCAATAATATGCAGAAGAAAATGCACACATTACCTTTTTTGAATAATAAACCATGTTTTGAAGGCAGCTTGTATTAATTCACATGCTCTTGTTTGGTGGTTTCTGTTTTAGTATATTTTGTTCTGGATTCATTTATAAAAAGATGGAAAGTCAGAGTTTAAAACAAGAGCTAATTAGTAGATGAATTATGTGCACATGAGCTACATATGTGCTTTTTTCTGGTTGGAGCTTAATGTCTCTACTCTTGCCCTCATTGAAGGCTACTTCATGCCATGGGAGAATTTTTTCACAGTTTATTTCATTTATAGAGCATGAGCACCTACCACAAAGGGTGGTTACGGAAAGAACTAGTTCTATTGCAGTTGAAAAGTGCAAAAGACTTCACATACTTTTCCTTACTTTGGCTTTCATGAAAGCCCCAGATGTTATTATTCTTGTTTTCTAGATGAGAGCATTCAAACTCCAGAGAGTTAAAAAACTGTCCTAGATCCCAAGACATCAACTATCTGCCTTACTCTTGAACTCTGGAGGCTGACACATAGGGTAGAGCAAAGCTGAAATTCTGACCTAAATCATCAGATTCCTAGTAACATTGATTTGCCACCTGCATGGACTACTGGTTCAGAGACTTGTAGTGTGGTGATGAGCATTAATTTGGTGTGCCTGGGACCTGGTGCACCAGAGAAACAGGGTTCTTGTTGGCTAATGCAAGTTTATTAAAATATTCATCCTTCAAAGGTGGGGAAATTGTTTCTCTGGCTGTCCAACAGAGGTGCTGCAGATCAAGGGGAAAATGTGGTTTACATTGAGTGAAGCTGTGAAAGCTCACTCAGATCCTAAGAATTCAGCAGCAAATGCCAGTACTGAATCTAGATCAAAAGAAAAGGAGATACATTTCTTTATCAGCCACCAATGCACAGCTAATGATACCATATTGAGAAGTCAAAAGCTTCTAATGATTCACCAAAATCCCTTCATGATCATGACAAAGCCATAGGTAAAATGCTCTAGAATAGTCTATTTATTTTGTTATTAATAATCTATTAGTGGTTCTATCAGAATTACATTCTGATTTCACATTGGTTGAAAGTTAATCATCGTAGCAATTTATTTGGATTTTGGAATTCTTTGTTCCTTTTTCTTTCATGTCAGCTATATTGCTATGATTAACTTCAGTCACCAGGCCTCTGCAGAGAGCAGCACACCTCTGCCCAGCCCTCTGTGGGGGCTGGGCAGGTGGCATACTACATGGGCACTCAAGGCTCATTTTCTTAAGGGGATGTCATTTCCTATTTGCCATAATGGTCCATGATCTTGAATTTTAAGCCCTTAGCTCAGATCCAGTATAATTTGGAGGTGGTGAGGTAGGGAAGATTTGAAGAAGAATGAGCTTGTACTTAGTAATTTGGTCCATAGAATGACAAATGTAGGAGCCTCACCAGGGAGACGGGGTGACATGTACAACCTTCTTCACACAGTTCACAACTTGTGCATTCATTGCTTCATTGATTATTTGGAATTAACTCTAAAAATACACTAGGAATGGATCACTATTACCTATTCCCCTCCTTCAAGAGCTTCTATTTTCTAATGACAGAGGGTACACAAGCAGAGATTTATCATCTCAAGTAGAGCATCTGTGCATGGATAGCATTTATTCCCCCACATATTTACTATAAGGTTTAATATATGTCATGATTTCTGAAAAGCATTATAAAATCAGGTAAGTATTGGTCACCTGTTGAGTCTCCAATATTGTAGTCAAAAGAAATATACCTATTTCTTCCCAATGTCATTTCTATCATGAAGTTACTGCCATTAAGCATATCACAACTATAATCATTGGAGTCCAGCCTAGGATAATTGTTGTTAAAGTGCTGACCTTTGTAGTAGAAGTGCTGTAGCAACCCTATGGAGGAAGAAGCCACATTACTGCAGGATAGGTAAGTCTCAGTCTGTGAACTGGGTAAAATAGAGTTGTTTTAGCACCAAAGACCTCAGTGGGAGTAGCAAATCATCCCATGATGCAAAGGAGGAAACTGTTTCATGAAGCTTAAGCAACCTTGCCAGTTACCGAGGCAGGAGGAACATGGCCTTGAATCATACACTGATTTCCTTTGACTTATCTTTTCACCTTCTTCCAAGTCCATTCTTCCAAATCCGCGAGTGTTTGTGTTAGAGCCATGAATTAATGTGGGAGACAGATGAGTCTCTATAATACTTTGGCTCCTGGAAGGAACAGAGAAGCAAGCTGAATGCAAGGACTCTCTGCAGGGATGTGGCAGTGCTCCGAAGGGGGCCTGCAGGGGAGTGAGGCATTCAGGAAAAGGCTTAGGAAAAGGGACCAGAGGAGGATATGGCATGGCAGGAACCCTGTGTAGCTGTGGCCAAGGCTACAGCGTCCTCAGCCAAATACCATGCACCTGGCGAGGGAACAGAGTACAGAAGAAGGAATGAGCACTGACACTCTGCCCTGGCCCAGTGGTAGAGTCTGTATGTCCTCCTCAGGTACAAAGCAGGGCAGAGAAGATGGAGAAGAGTCAGTCTAAGGGGATGCAGCATTCCTGCTTCCTGTGCCATTCGGAGAGTAAGGAACACATGTACAGGCTTAGCATGAGGGATTGTCATGGTTGCGTTGGGTTCTCTGTGCCTCAGTGTGCCTTGACCTGGGAGACCATGGAAGGATGTCCTAGATCAACAAATGTGGGAGGAGAGCAAGGGTGAGAACAGATCTTGTGTGCTTTTTGCCCTTCAGCAGGTCCAGTTCCTGGTGGGGGCTGTTGGCTGTGTGACTGTGTACAGCTCTCTCTCTGTGTTCCAGTAACCTATGGCATGATGAGCTCCAATGTGTACTACCACACCTGGACCATGTCACAGCTCTTCCTTGACACCCCAGTGACCAAAACAGAGAAAACCAACTTTAAAACGCTTTCTCCCATGGAAGACTTTTGGAAGGTATTTGCAATGACTTTGGAAATACCTCTGTCTTGTTTCAAAATGGTTCATTTATTTGGTGTCATGAGGGTGCCACACAAGTATCTCTAGTACTTCCTCAGTGTGGCCACTGTGTGAGATACTGTTCTTGAGAGTTGTTTGTGGTTTCCATTCCTGTCCCCAAAGAGGATAAACTCCAGTGATGGAGAACCTGACATTTGTCCTACACTGAGCTGCGTGTTCACACTTCCCTTATTTAACCCCTAGAGTGACCTGCAAGGAAGTAGTACATGGTGTCCTGTCGTGTAGAAGTGGCCAAATGACATTCAAAATACTTAAGTATCTATTATCATATTACTAAAGAATAATAGTGAGTTTTATTATACAACAATTTTCTCATTGAATTCACCCTTAGTGAATGAGAACCATCTAGGAGTAAAGCTCAGGAGAACAGTTTGACTTTCTGTATTAATTCTGTTACTGTGTTGTGACTCTGTTGTAGATAACCTCTGCCCCCAGATCCTAGAACAGTGTGAGGGAGGTACATGATTTCAAGGGTGTACAAGTATGAAATTCAGACATGGTGTCTGAATTTAAGCCATGTATGATGCTATAGGAAAAATACTATGCTGATCTGGATGATCTGTTTCTTGGAAACCATTAAAATAAAAAAGGAAATTGGAAATGAAATTATTGTTTCTCTCCAGCAAGAGATATTTGTTAATTGCTTCCTGAACTGGGGTCCAGAGCTACTGATCTTAACCTTTCCTTACCTCAGTGAGGCAGACTAGTTTATCTCTCTTGATCGTCTGATAAGAATAAAGTATTCAGAGTTATATCTGGCCTCCCAAGAGGAACTAGCTCCTTGTACCGACTAACAGGGGCTTCTCACACATACATAATTCCATGAAGTAAATGCCAGTGTCTGAAGAGGCAGGTAAAGTTGAAGGGATCCCCACAGAGCGAAACTGCTCAGACATTAAATATATCCAGTAGATGGCAGACTGCTAATGCACACTCTCATTAATATTGCTCCAGACCTGCTCTGATTTTGCAAGATGCTCTTTTCATAAGGAAAGTTGAAGTGATGCTGGTTATGGATTTATGTAATATCTCCACTCTGACTTTAGTCCCAAAACAGAACACAGAGATGAGACCAATTCAGTACTGGCCTTGTGCCAGATGCCCTCGCATTTTTCTATTACATTAATCTCTATGCTATATCTTAAATTCTCATGTTTTCAGGAGAAACCTTGCTGATTATGAAGAAGACAGGAATTTGCAGTCAGTTCTCAATTTATTATGAAAAGACTTCACTAAAGCAGATTGACTTTGGCATGCCATAGAAGATATGGAAAAGGAACTTATGATTTTGGTTTTTAACTAATGATTTTTTTCAGCTGCTAGTAAAAAAAATCGTGCACATGGGTCAAGTAATAGCAAGAAGGAACATTCCCAAAGTATCTTTGCTGGCAAAATGTCTTCAAGATTAAATTTCCAACAAATATTCTGCAGAAATAAGGTACAGAAAACATAAGATCCCAGCACCTTTTAGATTCAGAGCCTAGGGATGGGAAGGTGGCTCAGTGGTAGAGTGCTTGCCTTGCATGCATGAGGCCCTGGGTTCAATTCCTCAGTACTACACAAGCAGAAAAAGCCGGGAGTGGCGCTGTGGCTCAAGTGGTAGAGCGCTAGCCTTGAGCTGAAGAGCTGAGGGACAGTACCCAGGCCCAGAGTTCAGGCCCACAACTGACAAAAAAGAAAAAGAAAAAGAAAGAAAAGAAAATAGATTCAGAGCCTTCCCTAGACTCTATTGTATCTTCCATTGCTTGGCCACTTTCCTGTCCTTCCTTTAAATGGCTTCATTAGTTAACTTCATTTCAGTCATGTCCTTCCAGAGGCCTAAGTATAACTGGTAACTTATTCTAAGTTATTCCTTCAGCTGGAACTGATAAGCTTTGGCTAAGTTTGGATATACAGAATACCATATAATTTAATCATACCTAATTTTGCATGCTTCACAGTATTCATCAGCACATCTGTGCTATTATTAATGCTTGTTTGGGCTTCCTCTGTGCAATCTCAATAAACACTGAGCCCAGTCTTCGTTCTATCTTCTATTTGCTTTCTATTTGCTTCACAGACTCTCAAAAATGTATTGGGCTTTAATGAAGCATTTATATAAATCATTATCAAAATATTTCTCCCTTTGATTACTTAAGAAAACACAGAACATATGTGACTCATATGAGAGGGCATTAAAAAAAAGAGCGGCACAAATACGTACTATGTGACATTAACCTGTTTTGTGCAATAACTATGGAAATTAGTGTGTGTTAGGTACAATTCCAAGTGCTTTACACCTGTAAAAGCTTCCTTATTTTAATTTTATTTTGTTATTGTTATTATAAAGATGCTGTCCAGAGGGGTTACATTTACTTAAGTCGGGTACCCTTGCCCTTGCTCTCTCCCCACCCCCAAGTCTTTTAGTTCATTTTCACCATAGTGTCAAAATGTCTTTAATGCTTACACAAACCCTCTTATGCACTTTGCTCCTATCTCTAGAGCCATGGACAGGTTCAGTTCAGAAAGAGGTTCACTCAAGTAAAATTCCTACAGAAGAGAGAAGGTGTGGAACTCACTGGACTAATTCAGTCAGCCTGAATCTCATCTTCCTTGATGGTAGGGTCACAGCTCACATCTCACACAAATCATGGTGTTAATAATGAGCAAAATTACAAAACAACTTCAGTACCTAAGGCAGTGGGTGAGGCAACAGTACCGGAAATCATTTTTCAAAATATTTCTAAATGAAACAATGGTAGAGTGCAGTCAACCTAGATTGAGAAATACTTGGGGACATAATCACTGTTGGTAACTATTATTCTTAAAATTCTCTTTAAGTAGTCCTACAAAGGGGTTTCATGTCAACATGCTAAGTTATGAGTACAATGCATCAAGGTCACCCTGTTGATAACACTTAAGTTAGCAAACGCTGGATCTCAGTTTGAATCCATCCAGGACAGAAAAGTTCCTCAGATTCTACCTTCAAAAGACAGAATTAATTTTGTGCCCTGAAAATCTTCAAGATCAACAAGAGACTAATCAGTAGGATTCAACATTTGAAACTTTCATGCCTAACAAAAAACCTGGACTGTACTCCCTAATTTCCTTTATTCCTTTAGTGACTGTGTATGTTTGTATTCTGCTATAGGAGACATATGTGTAAAAACATGTACATTCACAGAACTTAAAAAGCGTATAATACAACTAATACAAATAGAATTTTAATATTTTAAGCCCCTATTGCAAGCTCCCAGGTCTTTTCCCCACACTTCATGAACTGCCTTTTATCCACCTAAGAAGCAGCTGGAGACACCAGAGAGGTCAAGGGCAGTTACTTTGGCTTAGCAGCTACCGAATTTTGCCAGCATTTCTTTACTAGCTTGTGTCCCTTGACTGTCCCTTGTGGCTCAACCTCTGGTGTTGCCAAGACTCTGTTCAGATCACGTGCTTTCATGAAGATCAGGGAGGGCTATTGCAACCTCATGTCTTCTTGGAAATGTTCTCTGAGCTAATGACAGTGCTTGCAGCTCACCCCAAAATACACCTTTACTCTAGTAGACCACCTACACTGCAAACAGCTGAAGCTTTTGTTTCCTTCGCCCGAATTGGGTAAGACCTTCTAAAACCCCAAAGAAATTACATTCTAAATAGCACATCTCAATATTGCATTGAAATTGTTTCCTCCATGGTCCTTCTTTCTTTGTCTAGCACTCAGAGGCCTGGCTTACATCATCAGGCAGCCATCTGTTCCAAGCAATAGTCTTAGGACAAACTAGCAGAATTATTGGAGAAAAGACCATTTCAAGGTTTATGTTCAAATAATGTTGTTTGTTTTCACTGAGTGAAAATGGGTTCGTTTATTCCACAAATCCTCCTGAGCAGCTCTTCTGTTCCTAGCTCTGACACAGGCACTGACACATTCAAACCTCTCACCTCCTAAAGCTTGTATTCCTCTGTGGAGAGAAATGGTTTGTGTATTAGAGAAAAGGATTCCAGAGAAAATTAGGAATAACAACTCACATGCTTATAAAGTACCTTAGCTTTCTCTCACTTTGTTTGGGAAGAAAACTACCAATCAAATGTTAATGTAGTAACATAATAAAGTTGTATAAAGGAATGTCTACTGAATATTTTTTTTATAAATGTTCGTCCTGTATAGAATATAAACTATGTGGAGGAATTTTTCTCAGATTACACCTGGCTTCTTTATTCTTCTTAGATGTGTTCATGTAGAAGTACATTTTTGCTTTATCTCAAATATTCCATTTACCAGCTCAAAAATATATAATTGGCACTAGAAATCCTTTTCTGAAGATGAGGAAGTTGCTTTCTAGCTATGATTGGCATCCAGGCAAATCTTTGCTAAACACATGCAGTGTGGTCTGAATGGCTTCTCTGAAAGGGGAAAGAGAGAGAGAGAGACAGACAGACAGACAGACAGAGACAGAGAGACAGAGACAGAGAGTCACACAGACACAGAGATACAGAGAGAGATAGAGAGAGACAGAGAAAGGAGAGAGAGAAAATGAACAGAGAAGGCCATATCAGATTCCCCAACTCACCTACTCCCAACTCAAACTGTATCCTTCCCAGCTCAGTGATTATCTGTGTTCACCTATGTTCACCTGGATGTCTAGCTCCACGATTCCTGAGGACCAACCCATTTTTTTCCCCTTGTGAGGATTCCATTTTAGTGTAGCTGTTTTCATCCTTCATTTGACTTTTGCGATACCAACACTTTCATCGTATTTTTGTATTTACCATTGTTAGCCCAGAAGCCTCCTCCATCAAGGCTTAACATAATCTTTCCCTAGGCAACA